CATACCTTTCGATTGTGATTGCGTTGCTGGTCACTGCGGTCGCATACATCTGCGGCATCGTAGGACAGTCGTCGCTACTGCAGCGCCACGTTCGCAAGTTCGTCGAGGACTACGGTACGCCGCTTACTGTGATATTCTTCACTGGCTTCGTACACATCGGAAAGATGGCTGGCATTGAATTGCTCAAGCTACCTACTTCGAAGGCATTCTTTCCCACTACTGATCGCGGATGGTTCATCCACTTTTGGGATATAAGTGTCGGCGATGTATTCCTGGCTATTCCGTTCGCTGTACTCTTGACGATTCTGTTCTGGTTCGATCACAACGTTTCTAGTCTAATCGCGCAGGGCACGGAATTCCCGCTGCGCAAACCGGCAGGCTTTCATTGGGATATCTTTCTCTTGGGCATCACAACTGGAGTTGCGGGATTACTGGGCATACCCTTCCCGAATGGCCTCATCCCGCAGGCGCCGTTCCATACTACATCGCTTTGCGTTGCACGCACCGTCGCCGATTCCGACGACGAAGACAACAAAGGCCATGGCAAACGCGTTGTCGACCATGTGGTAGAGCAGCGCGTGTCAAACCTCGCTCAAGGCCTCCTCACCTTAGGCACGATGACTGGACCACTTCTCATTGTACTGCACCTCATACCACAAGCGGTACTAGCTGGGTTGTTCTTCGTCATGGGTATTCAAGCCCTAGAAGCAAACGGCATCACACTGAAGCTCATCTTCCTTGCAAAGGACAAGCATCTCACATCACGATCCGACCCATTAGCACAGATCAAGCGTCGCTGGGTCATCTGGGCTTTCGTCGGGCTCGAACTCATTGGCTTCGGTGCCACTTTCGCGATCACACAAACAATTGCCGCCATTGGATTTCCGGTTTTCATCTTCCTGTACATCCCCATGCGGACGTTCTTGATGCCCAATTTCTTCACGCAAGAAGAGCTGAATATTCTTGATGCGCCGACTGCGAGTCCGTTTACTATGGAGTCGGTGGGCGGTAACCATGGGCAGGTCGTGGAGCCAGACCCGAATGAACGGGTCCTCCAGGAGAGCGAAGAGGCTGAAAGAGGCGAAAGGCGGAGTATTAATGATGAGAAGATGGGTGTTCTTGAGGGGCCGAGTAGGAGGAGAGGCAGTTTCCAGAGGGCGGACTAGTGAAATGCAGCAAAATGGAAGGCTCGAAGAGTAGCCGGAGAAGGCCGCAACGGCAGTAGAATCCTCGGGCTTATGCAACGTCTTGAGAAGCAAATGACAGAGATTTTCGGTTGAACAGTACACTAACTGCACATGTAGACATATCGCGCGATACTCTCTTGGCGCGTTTTAATCGATGGCTGTGGTTCGGAGCGGAAAACATACCTAATCGTACCAGCTGTACTTGGCAAAGGCCGCGCCCAGACGACGGACTGTCTTGATTTCCCCCCACTTATCTACATCCATCAGCCAAGACTCCAGGATATTGCCCGCTCCAATCATGGATCGGCTGAGGATGCGCCGAAGCCCAGCATCCAGACTCGGGGATTTGGGATTACGTGGGTGAGTGGTGACGAGAAGTTGCTGGCCACGAAAACAATAAGTTCGCACATTGGGAGATGATTGTTTCTTAAGGACTCTGGAAGCACGCAGAGATATTGAACAAGGCTTTTGTGATGGAGAATTGATATCCTCTGCCAAGTACGACACCGGAGGTGGACCGGCGGCTTCTCGGTAAGCTTACACTTGGAGAAAAGGCCTACGGCACCGCACGATAACATCGCGGGATGACTGATGAATACTCAACAGTGGGTATCATGGACATCAAGGTAGATACCAACGATGCTTGGTATTGCCAAGAATTTCCTCTAAAGATTCATAAACGGGCATGTTGAAGAGCAATGGGATGAAGCTTCAGATTGCTGACTTCATCCTACTTCGACCTTCGGCATGCCGTCCTTCACCAAGTTGCTGCCGCTTCTGGCAAGCATTGCCTCGCTCTCGGAATCCAAACCTCTAAGCCAGCCATCGGTCGTCTTCGCTCCCTTGAAAAGCACTACCCCCGGAAGCGCGCAAAACATCGTTGTCGACTACTACGGAGACGTCGACGGTGAGCTTACAATTACGTACGCGACATGTGACGATGCTTCCGCTTCCATCGTCTCCGCGAAGCAACGCATAGGCCAGACACATGTCGGCGCTCATCCTTTGGCAAGACGCCATGAGGAACATGAGAACAGGCGGCCCAACAAGTTCGTTTGGTTGACTCCGACTGAGATGTCTGGGGGCTGTCTTCATGCCTTTCTTGATGGAGAGCTTATCGGAAAGTCTGATGAGCTCGTTGTCGCCAAGCGCTATGCTCGCCGCCAGGAGAGGAAGTCGTTCGTTGATGTTGCGGGGACTGATAGCAACTGGTTCGATGGCGTTGCTTACTTGCAGCAGAAGCAGCCAGATGATGTTTTTGTTGCCTCTGCTAAGAATAAGTCTTTTGGTATTTTGGGGGGAGGTATCTCTGGACTTGCGACTTCAGTACGTATACGTGTCAACCAAGATATCAATCTGGTGCTAACGAAACGTCTTATAGTTGATGCTGGACTCCGTTGGTATCCACAACTGGAAGATCATCGAGTCGTCTCAGCGTATTGGTGGTCGCATTCGCACAGCCTACCTCAACGGCACTTCCCCCGATGAAGGCCAATATCACGAGCTTGGGCCCATGCGTTTCCCGTACGAGATTACAGACTCCGAGACGAACGAGACCTTCCCCTTCAACGACCAGCGCATGATCTTCCAACTGGCCGACGTCCTCAACGAACTCAACGCTGACAAGGAAGAGCTTCATGTCAAGTTCATCGAATGGATCCAGTCATCGCCCAACACCCCAGCCGACAGTCCCTTCCGCCGTCCCGATGGAACAATCCCCAGCAAGACTGAGATAGCAACCGACCCTGCATACAAGAACACCATCGCATACGGCAACGCCACTGCCGTTGAGGAGGCCAACGCCGCTCTCGATGAGTTCAAGGGTCTCGATGCAGAGCGCGTTAAGATGTACGCCACCAACATCTTCAAAGCCTACAAGCAAGCCAAAGACGACGGCATGTTCGACTACTCCGAGGTAGCCTACTTGCGCAATAAGCTGAAATTTGATCTCAACACCACCGACGAAGTCGGCCAATCCCACATCTACTGGCCCATGTGGGAATACGAAACTGTCTACTTCCTCGCCTCCAAATGGGTCACCATCAAAGGCGGCCTTTCCAGAATGCCTGCAGCTTTCGAGCCCCTCGTCAAAGACCGCGTTCAATACGGCGCCAAAATCAACGGCCTCCACTGGAACGAAAACAACAGAACCATGTCCGTATCCTGGAAGCCCACAGGCTCAGACCCCTACTCCACGCCCGACACTACCGAAAACTTCGACTACGTCCTCAACAGCGTGCCCCTCAACCTCATGAAATTCTGGCACCTCCCCCGCTACTCCAGCCTGCTAAAACGCGCCATCGACCGCACCCTCTTCGCCAACGCCTGCAAAGTAGCCGTGCAATTCAAGTCACGCTTCTGGGAACACCTCCCCCAACCCATCTACGGCGGCTGCACGCGCCTCTCCACGCCCAACCTAGGACAAATCTGCTACCCCTCCCACGGCATCAACGCGACCGGCCCCGGTACAATGCTGGCCTCCTACCTCTCCGACTACGAAGCCACCGTCGCGTGCGCCATGCCCGAAGCCGAACACATGGCGTACGTAAAACGCGGCTTTGTCTCTATGCACGGCTCAGATATCATCGAAGAGAACTGGACGGGCAACTACGAGCGCCAGTGCTGGGAGCAGGATGAGCACCAGGCGGGCGCGTTTACGATGCAGATTGCAGGGGGGCAGCAGACGCTGTACTTGCCGGCGTTTTATCAGACGGAATACAATACGGTGTTTATTGGGGAGGCGGCGACGTTTACTCACACGTGGATTTTTAGTGCGTTGGAAGCTGCGGCGAGGGGGACTGTGCAGGTTTTGTTGGATATGGGGTTGGTGGAGGAGGCAAGGGAGGTTACGGGGACGTGGATGGCGAGGTTTATTGAGGTTTAGATGGGTTTATGCGATGGTTAGTATGAATTTGCGGTTCCGACCTAGCTTCTCTCTATGGTAACATCGTGTGATGTTTCTTTAGATAACTCATTATTTGCGAAGTTTGACCTGTTGGGTCTGAAGATGTCTTCTGGGTAGCTACACAACATGGAGCCACCTCATACAAGGCAAAATCTGAATAGGTCTGCGGACTACAGCAACGTAAAAAGATTCAAATCAGTCGACCTAACGTTGATGTAGGCTCTAGGTTGTTGAGTGTTTTCCTGAGTTGACATGGAGCCGTGTCGATGGTCAAGCGGCTGTTCGCTACTTCCTGGTTCGCTGGGTGCTCGGACGCGTTCGCGACTCACCAAAATCTAGCGCGCAATAGCGCGTTACCATCACCACGAGCGCCCGCGTCATCCAAACTGCCACACTGCCATCACTTCACTTGCAACAGAATTGCGCAACAACCACGGCTTTCGCATTGCTAATGATGCGCTTGGTTCAACGTCACGAAGTCCGCGGCGCTCTCCGCACGTATCTCTCACTGACACCTACCTCGATGAAGCCTAAACTAAATCCGCTACCTTGGCTCAGCATTTCGAAGCAGCTATACATCCGGAGCTGACAAAGAACTGATTTCAGGTTTAATTCCGTTAGATCCAGTATCACTAATATGTGGCGCAGTAGCTGTAGGATTCATAGGCAGCTGAGGGTGTGGGGGCGGAGGCTGAGCAGGATGCATGCATGGGTGATATTAACGCTACCCCGCCCGTCCTCCATTCCGCAGCGACATTGTCTGCTCATTCTACCGCAGCCTCATCTTCAGTTGTTCAGTCACCTCCTTGGGCGGATACTGCGACTGCCCACATCGTCCGAATATGCGCCTCACGCCGAGTACAGCCAAGCACTACAGTTAGAGCCACTGTTCATGCAGTCGCCACTCCATGGAGCAGCAAGGCTACGAAGAAGACCTCTTACGAAGATGGTTCCAACAAGACGCGGAAGGGCCCGCTAAGCACCTCACGGAGGCCGACATATGCGACATCGCGGAGGTCTTGACGCGCAGCTCGAAAGATGCGTGGAGTCGCATTCCAAGGATCTACAGTATCCTGAGAAAGATTGGACAGCTGGACGCAATCGACGCCTTCATTGACGATGGATTCACAGACGTGTCTTTCCCCTTCTCGGGGACCACCTTACCCGAAGCACTACGCGATCACTCCGCACGACTCAACTTCCTCGAGCTGCAGCATCTCGTCTACGATAACGAAGCGCTCGACCTTGAACGGCACGCACGCCACGGCCACTTCAGCGACCCGAAAGACGTGCCGTTGAAGAAGGTCGGTGAACTAGGGAAAGGTGGTTTTGGATACGTTGATCGGGTTGTCAGCACCATCAGTCATAAGGAATACGCGCGAAAACTCATATCGAGAGGAAGAACTTTCCGGAAGGTAGGTTCGTATATACGGACTGAGGGTTCCCAGGCTGACGAACTATTTCGCTCAACAGGACAAGCAGGTCTTGCGCGCTTTCACCAAGGAGTTGTCGAATCTCAAAGGCCTATCGCATAGACATCTTGTCAAACTCGCCGGTAGCTACACCGATAAAAAGTTCGTCGCCATCATTATGCTTCCTGTTGCAGACATGAATTTGCAGACGTTTTTGGAGAACACTAATCTCGACGACACCTCTCGGTCTTTCCTGAGGCCCTTTTTCGGTTGCCTCACATCAGCGCTTTCGTATCTGCACGACAATCGTATACGTCATAAAGATATCAAACCATCAAATGTTCTCATCAAGCATGACCAGGTCTACTTGACAGACTTCGGTACGTCACTGGATTGGTCTGGATGTGACAACAGTACCACGGTCACGGCTCCACCGACGACACCGCGCTATTGCGCACCAGAGGTGATGGCCTTTGTGGAACGCAATACATCATCCGATATATGGTCCCTCGGTTGTGTTTTCTTGGAGATGTGGACAGTTCTAAAGCGTTGCACTCTCGACGAATTGAAGGCACACATGTCGGACAACGGAACTCACGTCAAAGAGTATCATCACAACCTCGAGGCTATTGCGATTTGGATTCAGATACTTGAGAATGCAGCAGGGCCATCATGCGATTTGGTGCCGTCGGGGTGGATACAAAATATGCTCCAGCACAAGCCAAGATCTCGGTGGAATTGCCACATCCTTGCCAACCATATCCACGAAGCGAGTATAGACCCTTCTTTAGAGTATACCTTCAAGGGTTTATGCTGCCTTGAGCCAGAGGACGGCACTACCGATGAGACCGAATCTTCCGATGGATATTCGGAAGCTGGATTCATCACACCGTCGCTACCTTCTATCGAACGAGAGGATTCCGAGCAGGTCGTAGAGTCCGCAGCATCACCTGAAACCCAGATTGAGAACTTAGTGAGTGACGAAACCGCTAAACCTGCTGAACTGTTGTCGCGAGTCCAGCTCGATGTGCCAATTCCCCGTATATCAGTCAACGACTGCTCTGCTCCTCCTGGAGCGTTTGTCGAAGATGAGAGCGATTCTTTAGCACGTGAGCTGTATGACCCTTCAACACCAAGAAAGGCTACGGTAGACTCAGAAGAAGCTGACGCTGAACACGACGATGCAATGTACGCAGCTACGAACAGCGACTTCAGTGGCTCTGACAATGAGACCCTCCAGAAAGAACAGACGAACAAAACACCGTCGCCACTCTCTTCAACTTATTCTTTGTCTCATTCAATAGCTTCTTCAGAAGAACTACCCAGCGGTTCTTCTTCCCCGAGAAGCTCCAGCACAGTTTCATGGTGCTGGGATGAACACTTGCGAGAACCCCCGAATAAATGTAGTCTCTGTGTTCAGTTACTGAACTGTGCGACCGACGCTGTCAGACTCCCATGTCAACACTGGATTCACAAGAGCTGCTATGCCAAGGACTATACCTTTCTGTACTATAATTGTTCGACATGCATCTCGGCGAACAGAAAACCGGCCAGCCAAGCCAATCGTTATTTTTGCGAGTTCAACGATTGGGCTCAGAAACGCAATGATGCTCAAGACAGGTTAAGATCTTACGAGAACAAGGAGGCTGCCAACGAGGTCTGGGTCCCATATTCGGATTTAACCGGGCGAATATCACCGGCACATCTTGAGCAGCTAGGATCATCTCCCACGTATTCAACACGAACCACCATGTACCCATCGGACTCTGACACGCACCCGCGAACGCGAAAGAAACGTACTGTACGGCTAGACTCAGACTTAGACCCACACCTCACGTCACAAGCGCATGGAGTGCCTACTTCAACAATATCCAACAAGCGTGAGCCAAGGAGCGTGGGTACAGACACCAAAACGAAGTCTAGGCATGACAACTCAACGTTTAAAGTGGCTGCAGAAAGGTTTTGGAAGATAGGTAGAAAGAAGGCAGGAACAAAGGATGAAGCATCCACAAGCAAACGCGATGCACCGAGACAGCGAACTGAACGCAAATTCACGAATATCGAGAGCGACTCGTCGGATTCGGATGATGAGAAAAAGCGCTACGAGGCAGCCTACTGGGCTCGTACTAAGGAGCATGATCGACTCATGGCAGAAGAGCGTCGAAGTCACGAAGACATCCGATACACTGGCGCCACTCAGCGACCGAAGCCCGTCAGACACGGTGAAGCGAGAAAGCTACCGGTGCCATCAATCAGCGAAGAAACTTCTCCAGCAAGGCCAAAGTCAGCAGAACCACCTGCGGCGAAAGTTTCAGCCGAAACTCGACCACGTTATTATCCAACTCTAAATAAGAAACTGTATCTCCCTGCTGAGTGTGAACCTGGTAGCGAGCATCAATACGAATCGTACTCATCCGACGACGACGACGATGAAAGAGGCAGAGAACCAGCGGAATCTTTCTCTTATACCGGCAATGGGCCTGAGGACATTATATGGGCCCCGAGAAGTGCTGGCGAAGTCGTCAATCCAAGGCGCTCCAAACCAGAAGATGTCAGGTGGGCTCCAAAAAGTGGCGAAGGCTACAGAGTCAATCCCCCAAGGCCTCGGTATGGGCGGACGGCTACATATGTATACTAGTAGGGTTCTTGGCTCGTTCCTTGTACTTTTGTGTCTTAGTCGATACGCCAACTTAGCCAGCATGGACGCTTGATCGAAAGCGGAACAAAGCATCGACCCAACTTTGACTCTATTTGTGTGCCTGGTCGACCGTGCATTCAATCTACCTTCAAGTCTACGTGTTCGCCAACAGCCTCCAGAACGCTAACAAATGTATACTCTAGTCATCGCAGTAGTCGGTAAAGGTCTCTCCTGTTTCGGAATTCTACTGTCCTGCGTCATATCTTTCTTGTTGATAGTGAGATGGTACAAGTACCTCTGGTGTATGATACACCATGCACGGATTTACGGATAGCAACAAACTGTCACGACTTGTAACACGAATATGTATGAACTTGCGTCATTGATCGTCTAACGATGCCATCTATATCTACCCAGACCAAATGCCTCTAACACTCCAACCATCACACAAGCTTACAAAAGAGTATCGCCAAGCGCGCATCTCACAATCGAAACACCAGCGCGGACAGTGTCACCAGCACCCTCAGCATCAAGGCTGGGGTTAACCTCAACGAGATCGAGCGCGATGAGCTGACCAGTCTCAGCAACACACTCAGCGATGAAGTCACCCTCGCGCAGCGTCAAACCACCGCGTACAGGAGTACCCGTGCTGGGCGCCCACATGGGATCCAGAGCGTCGACGTCGAAGGAGAGATGGATAGGCGTATCGCTTCCGATCCAACCCAGTGCCATATCCATGACTTTGCCAATGCCATACCTATCGTCCTGTTAGCAACCCAACCCCAGCTTCGGGACATGGAATACAACATACCTGTCAATCTCATGCATACTATACGCCTTAATCCCGTGTTCCCTCAAAATCTTCTTCTCCCCCTTATCAATATCCCTCAACCCAATATAAACCAACTTCTTCGGACTAATCAAATGCTCCTTCTCCAACCACGCAAACACATCCTCCCTCTTCAATTCCTCCTTCTCCTTCTCCTCCACAAGATCCGCCAAAAAGGCGACTGGCATACCATGAATATTCCCGCTCTCGCTCGACTCCGGCGTATTAATATCCGCATGCGCATCCACCCAGATCACCGCAATCTCCTTACCCAACCGCTCCCGTACTGCTTTCGCAGTCCCGGACACGGTGCCGATGGCGATGGAGTGGTCGCCGCCGAGGGTTAGCACGAGTTTTCCTGTTTTGGCGTGGGCGTAGACTTGGTCCGAGACTTGCTTTGTTACGGCCGACACGAATCTGGGTTGCTTCATTCTGTGGACTTCGGGGTCGGAGGCGGGTCGCAGTTCCGAGTAGTTGTGCACTTGGCCGTCGTAGGTGACGTTGAAGTCGAGGTCTTGTTCTAACTGCTTGATGAGGCCGTTTTCGATGAGCGCCATGGGGGCGGCGTCGACGCCGGCTTTGGGCTGGGATGAAATTGTTAATTATTTATTTTGGGGAGAGAATGGGTGGTGGGTGGGTGGGCCTTACCTGGCCGCCGCTGAAGCCGACTGCGACGATGCCTAGGTCATGCTTGTTCGGCAGGAACTTGGGCTGTAGTGTGGGTGCGGAAGTCATTTTGCTGGGGGTGAGGTTAGTCATGTGATTTGTTGTGTGGAGTGGGCAGAGAATGTGGGAAAGATGGGATTGTACGTGGGTTGGTTGTCGCAGAAAGTGCGACTTCTAGATAGCAAACCACCACGTTGCGAACCACGTCATCAAAAGCAATTGCAGTTATCTCTTACCTCTAACTGTGAATTCGTATACCAATAATAAAATGTCTTCCAATCTATCATGCAAAAAAGTGCTAATACCGCAATGCGTACAAACAACACTCTATCCCAATTCAACTCTGTCAAGAAGTCGAAGAAATGCGAAATAAGCAGAAACCATCGCCAAAACCGAGGGCGGGCAGCCTTTTATGCATTTTATCTGCGCCCGGATACGCTTACAATCTCTTACCTAATTCCGTGTTGCTGAATTTTCCCTCCATCGTGTGCACCTGTACTTAGAGGAAGCGTCTGATGAGGCTCTCGTCAAATTTATCACTTAGGGGAAGTAGTCTTTATCTAAGCACCGGTACCGTAAGAATGCCCCCACTACCGGCCCCGGTTGCGCGCCAGCACGCTTTAGGGAGGTGCAGAGGGCATGGGATGGGTGGTGTCAACGTGGCTTTTGCCGTATGCTGTGGAACAGAGGAGATGTGCATCTATCTGTGAGGACTGCTGTGTAGAGGCTCGCCTTTGCTGGTAGCAGGGCTCGGGGTGCACTGGAAAAGCGATTGGTTGGGCGAGAAGGGGTCTAATCCCGGCGTGGAATGGGCGGCTGCGATCGGCTTTACCGGTTCAGCCGCATGCTGAGGTCCGCACGCGAAGCCAGCTGACCTTTCCAACGCACCGTTCATCGCAGTCACATGCACTCTACCGTGTTCAACGCCAACGCCGCTAATGTCCGGTCCCGCAATCCGTTTCGTGGCTTCCAAGTCCGCGAAGAACAGCTCAGGAACTGTTCATCTGCTGTGTCATGTCAAGCCTGGGGTTAGTGCGCAACGCGAAGGCATCGCAGCGGTCTCTGACGAGCGCATTGAGATATGCGTTGCCGCTCAGCCGAAAGACGGAGAGGCGAATAGGGCGGTGAGGGAAGTCATTGCTGGTGCGCTTCGAGTTGCGAAGTCTGATGTTGAAGTTGTTAAAGGCATGAAGAGTAGGGAGAAGACTGTAGTTGTGCAGACGGGCATGAAAGGCACAGCTGAGGAGGAAGTCAATCGCATCAGAGCAGGCTTGGAAGGCAGAGAATGAAGTTTCGAAATCGTCTCAAGGCATTACTATTATATTACTTTTGTGCCCGGGTCATTAAGGAGCGTCATATGTACAGCATGGATATCTCCATCTACCCCTTCATGTTCATTATCCAATAGACATTAAAGATCCCCACCAACACCATTTCCAGGTGTTAGAGAGATCTAGTATTGCCAGGCACCAGCATCTTCGGTCGCAACTAGAGGAATCGTTAGCATATATCCAACTTGTTGAGAGGAGCAGAAAACTTACCAGCCAGAGCGGTGAAGCCAAGGCAGTCATCGCCGAATTCACCGTCCTCAACGGCACCAAAGACCTGGTATCCCTCGCCCTCGCCAGCCGGGCAGGCAACGAAGCCAGTCTCGTAGTCGAGGTATCCGTAGACGTTGCCGTCAGCGGGCGCGGTGCGGCTGAAGCCAGTGACGTCTGAGCCCTCGGGCTTGGAGACGGAGTGGGCGGTGGTGTATTGGAGAGCACCGCCGGGCGCAACGTAGACCTCCTGGCCACCAGGCACGACAACGCCGAGGGAGAGAGTTCCCTGGCCGCCAGCCAGAACGGTGGTGTTACCGGGAGGGCAGGCGCCGGCGGGAAGGTTGGATGGGCAGTAGGACGAGGGAGGGCCGCCGCCGAGGTAGAACTTTCCGCCGCGTGCGGTCAAGGACTGGAGGTGGATGGGCGAGGCGCTGCGCGACGAGATGACGCCGAAGTAGCCGGTGGGAGCGGCGTCGGCAGGCGCGGTCGACGACGAGGCAGGTGCGCTGCCGGTGACGGTCGCGGTGTGCGAGGGCTTGGGGCAGTCGGAGGAGATGGCAGTAGCCATAGCGCTGGCGATGAGCGTGGTGATAGCGACGGTGTACTTCATCTTGGCGAGTTGTGTGTGTTGTGGTGTGGAAGAACTTCGAAAGCGAGTGTTGTAAAGGGAGTTATAAACTAGTCTTTGCTGTGAATTGCTTTTGAAAGTTTGCTGAGGATGATGACCCTTTGTGCAGCGCCGTTCGCGGAACCCTTTATACTAATGGCCAACAGACGGACGGTGCAGGGTATGAGGGGTTTGTTCTGTTCTACCGTCTTCCAACCTACAAAACGCGACTAAACAAAGTAACATTGACCCTCCCACCTATGTTCCCCACCGTCATTCCTCGTATCCATGCAGACGCAGCGCTGCACTGTCCCTGCAGGCTTGAACCATGCCCGTAGCAGTAATGTCCCGGCCGTTTAAGCTCACCCTAAGCATGCTTCAGGCACTGATCAGCCCGTCAATATCGCTGGAAACATGACGAAAACGGGTGAGCTAGCCCTGCGCGCTGCATCCTCGCATTGAAGCTTCCGACACGCAGACGTCATATCGAGTCCCTGACGTACCGTACCGTATACGCCTTCTTGTCGACAAGCTGATCACCTCGTGTTTCAATGTCACCAGACTGACGTTGGGCAGTTCGGCTGGTTGTGTGACCTAATACGACGGTGCCGGTCGCGTCGGGCGAGAGTTTTCCCACCACACGATAACGGCATCATACGGCGGTATGTATGCGAAAGTGCCGGTGGATGCGGTGGCATTGAATCTTTCCGCATCCCGCATCTCGGTATCGCTAGCCGGTCGCTATTTGGATTTGAACATCAACCTTCCAAAAACACCTCGATAGCACCTCTCCACCTCCCATTCCCATTCCCATTACACAACAAATTCCAACATCGGAGGGTTATCCGTATGGCGCCATCTCTCCAGCCTCCGTGCCACGAGGACGTGTTACCACGGTACCTGTGTTCGTTGATGTCGTACGAGCTGTACACGGTGGTCGAAAAAAAACGAGGCTGGCAGAAGGACACGATCCCCGCTGGTGCCACACCCGCTACCTTAGTGCTCCTACCCACCCATCGCCACATCCGGAAATAGAAACCCACCAAACCTCGTATTTGCAACCAACGCTACCCGTGAAAGTAGCAGGCGACGTAGCAGATACGAACCGGTTATATGGAGATCGTGAGGAAAGGGTACAGCGCGGATGGTGGTAAGCGGGCGGAAGGCGTCGGCACCTTTTGTGCGATAAGAGAAGGGCAGACGACATCACAAATTCTTCCTGCTTACGACCGGAGAATTGTCCGGAGAGGTGGTTGTTCTATTCTTAACGACGCAGCGCGGTAGCGGAGATGTCTGTTTCTCCGACAGCAGACAGCAGACAGCACATGTTCCTCATGGCAAAGCACGCGAGTACCGTTCTGTCAAGTTCATGTTCGCGCATGAAAGACCGGGCCGTCCCCTGTCGCATACTATGGAGATACTGCTGCTTTCGGCCGAATGGGAAAAACAAACCACGGTACGCGAATATCTAGCCATGTACCTCACATGCGATAGTCGCATACACGCATGCGTTCGATGAATTCGATAATCACGATTACCTCTAAACGCGTTTGGTAGGGAGGATTCATGCATGGACTATTTAATTCCGCTTTTGGAGAGGGTGGAGAGGGTAGAGCGGTGTGAATGGCCGTGGATGTGGGGAATTGAGAAAGATTGTGAGGGTGCTGGATGTTTCTTTGCGAGGAACCGAGGTCTGTGGGTATGAGAATATTCGAGAGTTTTCACGATCATTTAACAGCTGGAAAGAACATCAACGACGAGCGCAAGAGCTTGGATGGCAATGAACCAACGGCGATGATAGTACTTCGTCTTGGATTTCCAAACCACGGGTTTCTCACACCCGTCGAAAAAGCTATTGCGATCGCCCCGCCCACCAAGGTACAACCTCAATAGCCAGCACGACGTTACCTTACAGTCTGACAAGCGACCTCGTCTTCGACCATGGAAGCTAGTGTTTGAGCAAGTTCGTCTGCACTCTGGTAATTTAAGTCCGGTACAACCCCTTACTAGCAAGCGCGAAGGTCGTAAGACTAGTGATGAGGAAGTTGAGCAGATGTTCAAAAGAAGGTACAGACACATGACAAAAGCTATTGCGAAGGCGTGAAGCTCGTGAGGATAATGAAGATAATTGGTATGCGCGCATTCGTAGAGATGCTCTTCACATCCGTACAACAAAGGTATTGTAATCGGTCAGACTATCCACGTACAACTTCAACGGCACAAGAGCAGGTCGGACAAGAACGTGCTGAACGCGCAAGCCCCTCTTCGCGCTGTACGTGTACGTTTACGTTTACGTGTATGTATACGAAGCAATGCAGGTTAAAGAGTAAGGAGGTTCAGATACTCTGGGACACTAGCAGCAGCGGACTCAGAGATTAGGGGAGGACGTGTACATCGTCCTTGTATCAAAACTTCCCCCAAGCTAGCGTCCTATCTACCAGAAAACAAGTCCAACGACTAATACAACAACATACGCGGCAATCCAACCCAAAGCCGCTGACGTGTTCTCCATTGCGACGCTTCCCTCCCCCTCCCCCTCCCCGTGGTATCAAATCAAACATATCCCCTACGCTATCCCCTACGCTGATCCCAAAAGTCACTACAAACATTTCACCGAAGACGCAGCTAAAACAACGCGCGCGACTCAGCTTACGCAATGCCCTTCACAAATCCCGTCTTACCTATCGTACATCCCCTTCGTACATCCACCCTAGCCTGCCACCCTGCATACTCGAATGTTGAAGTCAGCACAGACTAGAATAGACGCAGTAGTACACCCCATCTCCATCCCCTGCTCACATCCCCTC